ATCCCTGAGGAGCTGGGCAGGGGCTGCAGAATCCCTGAGGGAGCTGGGCAGGGGCTCAGCCTGGAGCAAAGGAGGCTCAGGGGCTCTTTGGCTCTGCACAGCTCCTGCCAGGAGGGCACAGCCAGGGGATCGGGCTGTGCTCCAGGGAACAGGGACAGGAGGAGAGGGAACGGCCCCAGGGTGGATATTTGGGAAAATTCCTCCTGGAAAGGTTCCCCAGCCCTGGCACAGCTGCCCAGGGCAGGGTTGAGTCCCCATCCCTGCAGGGATTCAAAAGCCACATGGATGTGGCACTTGGGAACATGGCCTTGATCTTTAAGGTCTTTTCCAACCTGAACAATTCTATGAAATACAGATCAATATATATATATATATATAAACAATTCTATGAAATACAGATCAATATATATATATATAGTATATGTGTTGATATAAATATATAAATTATATATCATATATTGTATTTATATACAAACCCTCCACATCCTGTAATTTCCTGCTCACCCTTCAGCTTTCAAACCCCTCCAGGAAAGCCACGTTTCCCCTGGGCTGGGCTGACCCTCCCCAGTCCCCAGGGATGGGTTTGGGCTGTTTGAGTTGCCCCTGCCCCGTTTCCCCACAGAGTTCCCGGCCCCAGAGGCGCTGGAGGTGCAGCAGGAGCAGCAGAGCAGGGTCCTGGTGCGGTGGCAGCGCCCCCAGCCCAGCCAGAGCCCCCTGCTCTGGTTCATCCTGCAGTGGCTGTCCAGCCCCCAGCACGGCCTGCAGGAGCAGCACAGCTGGGACAGAATCCCAAAACACCAAACTCACACCTACATCCCAGGTAGGACAGCCCAGGAACCCCCTGCTGCTGGGCACTGCTCCTCAGGACCTTAGAACTCCAAATCAGACTGTAAATCTGGATTAGATTATAAATCCAGATCAGACTGTAAATCTGAATTAGATTATAAATCCAAATTAGACTATAAATCCAGATTACATTATAAATCCAAATCAGACTATCAGTCAGGATTAGATTATAAATCCAAATCAGATTATAAATCTGAATTACATTATAAATCCAAATCAGACTATCAATCAGGATTAGATTAGAAATCCAAATCAGACTATAAATCCAAATTAGATTATAAATCCAAATCAAACTATCAATCTGAATTAGATTATAAATCCGAATCAGACTATCAATCAGAATTGCATATAAACCCAAATCAGACTGTCAATCTGGATTAGATTACAAATCCAAACCAGACTATCAAGGCATCTTCATTTGAGTTTGAGCCCCTGCCCACTTTTTGGGGGGGACTGGGGCCATGAAGAGCCCTTAGGGAAGGAGGGGAGGGAAGCAGGTGGAGATTTGAGGGCAGGCAGTGGGATTTGGGTCCCTGGGTGAAGCTCCCAGGGGAAGGAGGGGATGGAGAGGGAAAGAAAATGAATTAAATTTATTAATTATTTAATGAATTAAAAATGAGCTGGTGGGCCAGGAAGAACCCCAGACCCCCAATGGCCAACCCAGCTGCTGTCATCGCTCCCTGGCCCAGCCCAGCAGACAAAATCCCATTTTGAAGGTAAATCTGTGCTTTGCCGGCAGGGACAGCGGCTCCCCGGCAGGTGTGGCTGCACGCGGTGTATCCCGGCGGGATCAGCGCTCCCTGCTCCAGCCCAGGTGAGCCTCACTGCCCGGGGATGGGGGGAAAATGCTGCTGCTGCTCCCCTTGGGGACCCCTCGGGCTGGGAACAGAGCAAACCCTCCTGCCCAGCATAAAGGATAAGGATAAAATGCATTTCATCAATGTATTGGTGTCAGACCCATCTCCAACTGGTGCTTGCTCCCACCAAGCAAGGCAGGAAAGGATAAAATGCATTTAATCAATGTATTATTTGCGTCAGACCCACCTCCACCAGGTCTTTGCTCCCTGCACAGACCCAGAACAGCCCAGAACCTCATTTCCCATCAGCAGAGGCACCCGTGGGATCGTTGTCCCTTTCCAGTGTAGAAAAGCGAGGTTATACCTGCAGAACTCACAATAAGATGTCACAGATAAACCAAAACACAGCAAAGAGCTTTTCCAGGGAGCAGCTGGGCAGAGCCAGCCTGCCCTTCCTACCTGGAGTGGGAGGCACAGAGCCCTGGGAGGGACATCTGCAGCTGGGTCAGTGCTGGGGAGGGTTTGGGGAAGGAAAACCTCATTTCCAGCACTGGGGGTGGCTTTGGGTGCCCTCAGAGCTGGGCAGGAGGGTGAG